TACATCGCGATTCTGATTGGCTGCGTATAAATACTTTTGAGAAGGCGGGAAAAGGAAGCGCGCTCGCGGAGTATCGCGCTCGCGTCAATTGTTGAAACAACTTTTTCACCGCAACGACTCTATTTTTGTCTTTTCAAATACTTTACTTCTGCGCCAAATGTCGGAAAATCAACGGGTAGCTAACGGAAAGCGATCTTTATCTGAAGAAGAAAAGACAAGAAGAAGAGAAAGAGAGCGTCGAAGAATTCTAAGTGAAGAACAACACAGGCTTGAAAGGGAAAACGTGAGAGACGAAACAATCAAGTTTATAAAGACTCAAGCAAATCGAGAAACAAGTGAACGCCCTAAGACAACGATTATTGAGGGAGAATTTCTCTGAGGAGAACTGACATATTCTCCGACGATACCGTGGCGTTATTAAACAAATGACGGTATGTTAGATTATATGCGCAAGCGGTTTTTGGTGCTCAAATTATATTATCAATTCTTCTACTTCAAGAACCTTAGGCAGTTTTAATCTGGTTTAAGCTTAAATTTGCTTTTTAATTTGAAAATCTTCACCTGATACAGTTCAAAACTTCTCAATTAAATGAGCTTGTTGACAATGAAAATATGTGTACACGTAAGCTTACATTCTATCCACAATAATAATCTTCTTTGACATAAAACTACTCGGATGTTTTAAAATTTATAAAACTATTGCATTTTGAAAAGAGAGGCTTGATATTATTTGAATGTTCAGATTTTTACTCTTTATTCTTCAATAGACTCTTTAATACAAACTGTCAACAAACTGAGAGAGTAAAGATAAGCAAAGAATTTGAGAAGTTGAAAAATGGATAATCATTATGAACATTATGATTCCTTTGTTTACAAAACTGTCAAAATGTATTTATTACTTATCATTTATGTCAAAAAAGGTATTGATTAGTGTCATTCCTGTGTGATTAAATTATTATTACGTATGTTTCCTGTGTGATTGAAAAACCAACAAAACTGTCAAATTGCATAAATGACCCATAAATCATTTTTTTGGATCACTGTATTATTGAAAAATATCAACTGCCAAAATGTATTTTATGTATAGTTTAAAACACGATCTCGAGTGTTTTAAACGGCTTAAAAAACTCCAAAACTAATTTGAAACTCAAATCCGTTAAAATTCTTGGAGAAATTGCCGTGCAAATATGTTCAGAGATAAATGGGGCAAACTGATCATGCGCGAATCACTTTACAAAGCACTCTTGTCATCCCACATTGAATACGCATAAAGTAAAATAGAACCGCTCTTGGCTGTTCACTGAAATCGGTTGACATCCTGCATTGGTCAATGATCAGGTTTCAAACCTGAGACCTTTGCTWGKGTYATGGACCTTTATATCTGATAAAGGTCACCCTTATATAAAGAATACTAATAAGGAGTGTTTTATGAGATATAAAGGTCCATGCATGTGACCAAATAGGCTGATTCTATTGGCCTAGTAGCTCATTAATTATGTATGAGTTTTTTAATATTATTTATCATTCCTGTGTGATTAAATAAAGGATATTACTTGGGTGAATGAAAATATTGTGCTAACTCGTGGGATATATAAATTCAAAACTTGAAGATAAAATTCATATCTTCAAGCGACAGCTGTAATGTTCTGTTTATTAAATGACATTGGTGTAAGCAAAAGTCTGTAGTTACATAATCATTAAAAGATCAAAAAGTTTGTAAATTTCAAGAACATATTAATCATTAATTTATGACTTCTGCATGATTGCATAATGCCAAAACTGTCAAAATGCATTTATATTATTTTATGATTCCTGTAAAGATTGAAAAATACCAACTATTAAGAATTTAAAACAACAAAATATTGCAAACAATTTCTATTGACATATAAAGATGCATTTGTTATTATTTTTATTATTTCTGCATGATTGAAAAATTGATTGAAAAAACTGTCAAAATGCATTTATTATTATTTTATGATTCCTGAAATGATTTAAAAATACTAAAACTGTCAAAATGCATTTAATATTATTTATAATTCCTGTATGATTGAAAAATGTCAAAGTTTCAAAATATGTTAATAATTAATATTAATTCATGATTTCTGTAAGATATCTAAGGAAGTTTTATTTTGGTAAATAACCACAAGAATTCAAAATAAGTGGTTTTCTTTACATATAATTATATATATCACTGCTTTGCATCAACAAAGCTGAAGAGAAAAAGTTTTATAATTATTCAATGTAGTGCCATGGAATTTTTTTTTGTTAGCAAAAATAAATAAGTCTTGACAAAACATGTACTCAAAATCTGACCGATGTGTCTTGCATCCCATCTTTATCCAACATGCATATCTTTTGGGAGCTCCGCTATTAGGTTTTACCTAATTTTTCATATTACGTAGTTTGCTGAATCAGCCATGAATAATTTTAAAACTTGACTCCAAGCTTTCGACCTAAGCGGTCATCTTCAGGGAACACAAAGACGTTACAAAACAAAAACGCATTCAAACTGAAATGAAACTGTTTTTGCGCGCGCAATAAAGACAATGCCTCCATGCGTCCTGACCAGGGAATTCCCCTCATTGCAAAGTTTTTCTCCTAGTTTTGTCATACGTATATACTTATTTCAAGGAAGATCGGATAAAATAAATTGATCAGAAGCTCTGCTAACTTCTCTGTAAATGCATGGTAAAACGAGCTTATTACCATCGATTTCACAGCTTGTTTTGAAAGTTTGGACTGATCTCTCAGCCAATTCATTAATGGCGGGATAATATAGAGCTGAGGTTATGTGTCGTATTCTATTGGACTTCATGAAAACCTGGAATTCGTCTCACTCAATCTGCGGACCATTGTTACTAACAAGTTGTTTTGGAATTCCGAAACTGCCAAACAGATTCCTAAGGCATTCGATGGTCTTAGAAGATGTAATTGACTTCATTGGAACAACTTCTGGCAATTTGCTGTGAGCATCCACAACTATGAAAAACAGAATTTTTAAACGATCCATCAAATTCAATACGTATACGTTGCCATGACAAGTCTGCACGGGGGAAGAGGTACAGTTTAGTTGGCAGATCAGAAGAGTTGAAGTCTGCCTCATCCTTTTCATTGTGTTGCAAAGGAATTCGAGACAGTCCATCTATATTACAGTGTTCTTGGTGTTCTTGTATTCTATGTCATACTCAAAACCAGCTAGGAACAATGCGTAACGTTGTAATCTGGCTGCGTTCATCGCCGGCACACCTTTTTGTGGATTGAAAATGGTTGTAACTGGTTGGTTATTTGTGACAAGCGTGAATCGTCTTCCATACAAGTGCACTTGAAACTTTTTAACTCACGAAACGATGGCTAAAGCTTTGCTGTCTATGTGCGCATACTTACGCTACGTTTGCATAAGAATCGGGATGCGAAGGCAACTGTCCGTTCGGTCCCATCGGGTATAGCGGGTGATAGAACTGCTTAGATGCCAGTGGGCGAAGCGTCACATGCGAGATTGACTGGAAGAGTTGGGTCATAGTGAGTTAGAGTCAAGTCAGATGTTATGAGACGTTTAGGTTCTCTAAAAGCTTTCTAACAGTAGTCTGTCCACTCCCATTTGGTACCCTTCTCTAGTGGTTGGTGCAATGGGTGGAGCACAGTTGATTAGCATTGGGTAAGAAGCGGTTGTAGTAGTTGACTAGTCCGAAAAATGACCGGACTTGCGACACATTTTAGGGCCTATGTGTGTTGACTACGACTTTAATCTTCTCACTTGTTTTGTGAAGGCTCTGACTATCAATGATGTGTCCACAGAACTGGATTCTGACACGAAAGAATTCAAACTTTTCTCTGTTTACTCTTAACCCACCTTCTTGCAGTCGTTGTAAAACTTTCTCTAAGTTCTCATATCTTCTTCATCAGTGCGTCCGGTGATGATCATGTCATACAGAATGGATTGGATGCGACACTGGTGAAAAACGCACTGCGCATGCCCACACCTTTTCCGCCAGTGGGCGCTCGCTTCTTGAAATCTTAAAAAGAGCGCCTGGCTATTTACAGCGGCAACACAGAAAACACTACGAAAAACCTCATTTTCTCAAAATAGAAATAACAAGATAAAAATAGAAACTACATACTAAAAGGACCTATCATGAACAATGATTGATGGAAATATGAATCTTATATATCGTTGAACGAGCTTACAAATTTTAAAAAACTTTCACAAAAATCGCTTTACAAAGGAAATTAGGCAGATTTTAGCGTGAAAGCTGTGTACATGCGCAGTGCGTTTTTCGCCAGTGTCATTGGATGCCAGTAATTCAACACCTGATTCATCGCGCGTTGCCAAATAGCAGGACTAGAAGTCACACAAGACAAACACTAGTCGATTATATTGGAAGAGCTTTTATGCGTATTTTAAAATGGTTAAATAAATACTTCTTTGATTCCTTGATAATTGATAAGCTTTTTGCATACTTTTTGCAAATACAAGAACCACTTCGTGGAAAATACCGTGTCCAGGTAAAGTTAAGTGTATAGAATTTTGCCGTGAAATATATATTTTTTACCAGCGCCGGGATCGGTTTGGTATCTTTTCACATCATTTTTTTTTGAATATTTTTATCATTGCGACAAATATTTAGCATTCAGATTGCATCCGCATTATTCTTAGAGAATTTATTAGATGAAACGTCACTTTGCATTTTAAAAAGAAAAAAAGAACAAGTATATTTCAAAGTTAACACAGAAGAAGTTCTTGAAGAGATTTTTAAATGGTCAGATGATGAAAATGACGACTTGGATGAGGTAAATGACTTGCAAAACTCACATTCAGACTCTGATTGCGATGACATCTCTCCATCGACTGCAGTTCCTGAAATTGGAGAAGTATGTTGTGATGATGAACAAGACCTGAATGAAAGTTTTAAATGAAAGTCTTCTAACTAGCAAGAAAATTGTGAATAGCATTGATGCATGCTTAGAAGAAGGGCATTTCTCACAAGTTGATCTCCAAGAAAATGAAAGAGTTCACGACCTACCTAGAAAAGCCAAAAAATAGAAAAGATCCAGAGAAAAAAAATCAGTGGAGCAACAAGAGACCCGTGGAGGGTAGACAAAGTCAGTCTGATGTCATAAGAGGTCCAGTGGGGGTAAGGGGGGTCGCAAAAGGAGCAGCAGAGCCTAAAGAGTGTTGGAATCTTTTCTTTACCGACAGTATGGTGAATTCGATTGTCAGCTACACCAACAAGAGAATCTTTGGAGTCAGGAAAAGTCTATCAGCAGAAACACTTTCAGACGACAGATACACCTACATTGGAGACACCACCCCTGAAGAGATTGCTGCCTGGATCGGATTGCTGTACCTGCGTGGGCTTCTTTGCTTGAATAATCATAGCACTGAAAGTTTATTCAGCGACAAAACAGGTCATCCAGTCTTTAGTGCTACCATGTCAAAGAACAGATTCAAATTCTTGATGGCAAATGTCAGATTTGATGATGAAGAGACCAGAGCTGAAAGATGGAATTCAGATCGCTTTGCAGCTTTTCGAGAAGTCTTTGAAAAGTTTAACACCCAATGTGGTAAAGTAATTATTCCAGATGACTACCTTTCCTTAGATGAGACTCTATATCCAATGCGAAATCAAGTGAGCTTCAAACAATTCAACCCAAGTAAACCAGCTAAGTATGGCCTCCTTTTCAAGTCAATCAATGCTGCACGATATCCGTACACCTTTATAGTCACTCCATGCAGTGGAAAACCAGTTGGAGAAGCAGGAGAGTTCTACATTTCAGACTGTGATGAAACAGTGAAGTCACTAGTAACACGACTAGAAAAGTTAACCGATCTCAGAGGGAGAAATATATCTTTTGATCGCTTATACACTTCCATCCCATTGTGTAAGTGGTTACTGGGACGTCAGATTACAAGCATTGGAACCCTTAAAACCAACAGAAGGGGAATTCCCGATAAGTTCAAGAAGGTTGAGGAACGAGAGGAGTTTTCCTACAATGTCTTGTGGGAAGTACCTGACAAGAAGCTTGTCCTCCATTCGTATGTCGTCAAAAATAAGTCCTCGGGTCCTCGAAATGTTCTGATGCTCTCGACAGTACAACCGCTTCTTGGTGTCACTAAAGATGACAAAAAGTTCAAACCAGCAATTTTCAAGCTTTACGACTTTACGAAAGGAGGGACTGATATTGTAGATCAAAGAGTCGGCTTCTATTCCTGTAAGTCCAAGAGCCCTAGATGGACGATGATAGCGTTTTTCTTCCTCCTTGACACATGCAGAGTGAATTCATGCACAGCATTCTGCCTTTTGAGTATGGCTGGAAACTAGGGATGCAGCTTTTCCTTCCACACATAAAATCGAGATCTATAAATGGTCTTTGTTCTCTAACCCAACAGAAGATCAAGCTTGTGGTAAATTCACAGGAAGAAGCCAATGATGCAGCAAGTGATGGCGCTGATGAGACATCAAATGAGGCAAGCAAGCAGAGCTCTGAAGTACAGGAAATACTGCCTCAGAGAACGGAAAAACGAAAGCGCTGTGCACATTGTCTAGCTTCAATCCAAGGAGTAGACCAAAAGAGAAAGAAAGATACCCTTTGTAAAGTAAAGCAGCAATGTCAGTCTTGTGGTAGCCAAATATGCAAAACGCATGCATTCATTTGCTGTGTCAAATGCATAAAGCATGTGTGATGACGTCACTCCAAAGTATGACGTCATCATCTATGACGTCACAAACGCTGCTATAGATACATAACAATTCATAACATTGCAAAAGAGAAACAAGAACTCAATATAAACACTGACTTATTATTACGGAAAAAGCCATGATTTTGTAATACTTTCCAGGGAATATACGACGTCAGTATGACGTCATAAGGGTTACTGGTGTATCAAGAAACTTAAAAACTGTTAATTCTTTATATTTTTATGCTAATGAGATAATTTTAAAGTGTTATTTATGTTTTTGAAGGAAGTTGATTAAAAAGTATTTAAGAAACGTTAAAAAATGATAAAATGACGTCATTATGACGTCATAATTTATTGTCACGTGTCAAAACTTGTTGAGAAGGTACATTCTATCTTGGTGATCATTCTGTGAACATTTCATCGTCATAGGCCTATTGGTTCCGAAGATACAGAGGGGGGGCCGAATGAGCAACCTCCCCCCCCCCCCCCCCCCCCCAGTTACAGATTGCCAAAAAAGCCCAGTCTGAATAGGGTTAAAGGAAGAATGAAAAAAAAAGAAAAAAAGAAGCTGCTAGAGATCTTCAGTTCAACGCCGCTATTCAAGCACGATCTTGCTTGCAGAATATGTAAAACAAACATCAACAAAAAAAAAATAAACATGACTAGGAAAAGCATATTTCAGTGAAAAAAAAAGAAGGAAATCGATCGAGTCAAGAACCCAACCAGCGATTCTAAGGTTGACGCTATTCGAGCATGATAGTGTAAAACCAAAATAACGGTTCGAAAATAATTAAACACAATAATTAAACACAGTTAAGAATTCGAAATACAATTTTCTGGAATTCGGTTGCTAGCGTCATMTACYRMGGCRCATTKCCGTCCCTTGTGTATGTTAACAAGTTGGCTGAATCGGCTTAACTAGTTCATTAGTTTATTAGAATCATTTTGCAGACAAAAAACAACAACAAGCATTTAACATTTATTTAAACATTTGGCTTTTTTCAGGCCTCAAATAACTTTCGAACCAAGACAGCTAGAGGAAGTGTTTTCATTGTAAAGATGCTGTAGAAGATGAAAAACACTTCCTTATGCCCCCTATACTCTAAGATTAGAGATAAATTTATCAAGCAAAATAACATTCACGATTTTATTGCGGAGGAAGAATTTTTTCTAAAATTAATAGATCCTCTAAATAGATTACAAACGCAAGCAGCAAAGTATATTTATGAATGCTTTGCCTTTCGAAGTAAGACAAAATATTGAAATAGTAACTTTTTAAAAAACAAACATATTTATCTATACATTCCCTTATATTATTTGGAACCAATGTTTATGTACCCTTGTGTGCAGAACTCCAAATAAAAATTTGTTGTTGTTGTTGTTGTTGCAGAGCTCTGAAACTTTCGGACTTTTCCTAAAATTTATCTGGGCAGATTTTGATGTAAATTGTTTGTTGATAACGTCATCCATGTCGCCATGGCAACCAGTTTTTGACACATAGGTTTTCAAAAATGTAAAATATGCTTTATTTTTCATTTTTAAAGCTTATTTCTTGTTTTATTATGCATCTTTTACCTATTTGAGCTTGCTCCCATTGTTGACTCTACAATACCATAATACTTTTTCGACAACAAAAACTTTTGGGGGAGGGATGGGTAGTTTTCTGTCATTTTTTCACATGGGAGAAAACTTCATTAAAATCATCAGTAACACTTCGAAACTCGCTTTTTTTATTCATTAAATGTTAGTTTGGGAAGTATTTAAGACATTTTGAGCTGTTTGCCTCAATGCTTAGTTTTTTAATGGCATTTTAGAAAACTCAAGATGGCGGTCCAAGATGGCGGATCCTAAGATGGCGGATATTCTTCTCAAAATTGCTTGTTCCAAATTGTTTAACTTCAAAAACTTCTCAAATTGTAAATTTTAGCATAAAAAACGATGTAGACAAAAAAAATATTAAGATTTGGAGTCAAACTATTCAAAGACGACAAAGACACTATAAGAAATGACGTCATCACAATTATGACGTTACAACTGTTACTATGGATACAAAACGAAGCACAACATCASAGGAGAGCAGTAACGCCTAAATATGATATTTAACTGGTTATCTAGATATAGATATATAATTTATAAAAATTACCTGATATCTATGACGTCATTGTGACGTCATATAGAACAGGGGTCAATTGAAAAATACAAAAATATTATTTTCAAGTCATTTCAATAATAAACAGATGATATTGCAGCATTCTCTATGGAATTGTAGGCAATTTATTAAAATGAATTATAAATCGTTAAAATGGTGAAAATTACGTCATTATGACGTCACATTTGTTTCCCACGGGTCAAGACTCATGCTCATATACGTATTGGTTCCGAAGATATTGAGGGGGGCCGAATGAGCCCCCCCCCCCCCCCCCCCCCAGTCACAGATTGAAAAAAAAAGCCCAGTCTGACTAGGGTTAATGACCCGCTCTCAGCTCATGAAAGTTCATTTAACTGCCAATCATATATTAAAAACTCTTAAACTGAGAATTTAGTTTATCGGTGTAAAGAGAAATTCAACTAGATAAATTATATGCTCGGGATTGTTTGTGATACTTGCACTGCATTCTGGGTAATAAGCGGACTACTTTAGAATTCGATCACCCATAGTATGCTTTTGTGAAATTACAGTAACTATATGTTTTTAGTCCTTCCCGCTTTCTGCAAAATGTGAAATGTAATTAAATGCCTTATATTATTATTGTTATCATTGCACTCGGTCAAAGTGTGATTCCTTGGGTTTCTAAATGATTATGAAGAACAGTTTGTTTCAGCGTGCGTCTCTCCTCTCCTTTTTTTCTTTTTTTTTAAGCTTAAGAATGCTATCCTTTAGTGACCAAAGAACACTGATATTTAAGATTCAAAAGATTGTATGTGTATTGAAGGCCTCAGTAGCATTCAAACAATACGTTTATAATTTAGTCTGTTAACTAACGATGCAATAACACGCCTTGAACTGACAGAAAATAGAAAGCAATATCCAGTACGGAAGCTCTGTTTAACATTTTTTAAATATTTGTCACAAAATGCACTATCCTTAAAAGACTCCTGTGACATCTCTAAATATATCTACTTTGGCTAGGAAAGCATTTCTCATCATATCCATCCTCCATTCATCTARAAAGCAAAAATGTAAAAGAAAGTTTTGCTATATATGGCTATTGTAGCAGGGGTGAGATGATGCGTTGGGTCGGGTGTGTGTTTGTGTCGTTTTGCAAGGCATTAAAAGCTAGAAAAGCTTCAAGTTCAATCTCTCCTTCATGTTCTATTCTGCTTGATATTATCTTCCAATCAACTTTGAATTCGTTTCATTCTGATCAATTCGTGGACATGGCAGCTGAAAGGATCGAAATTTGCGCATACGACCTAGTAATACAATGTAGTTGATTTTTAAAAATACTCAGGTGTTTTACTTAACTTCGAAATATTTTGGTTCACAATCGACAGACACAGAAGACCATCTGGGAACGAAACTGGTTGTTAGTAATGATTGCATTCATTCGTAATTCACGGGGTATATTTACGTGGCTGACGAAAATTACGGTTTTATTCAAAGGTAGTCATTCACTAAGATGGCTAACAAGATTTCTCTAATTTAGTTTTTAAAGTATTGAAAATAATCCTATCATATAGTACGTTTTCTACTAAAAGGAACTTAATACACGACATATTATTTTTTTAACGAATTTTGATTCTGGCAGCTCACTAAAAGCTACGCGGGAGTAAAAGAAATTAGTAAAATTGCTTGCTATATTAGATGAATTGTTAATGTTTATAGCTGAGCTTCATCACTAAAATAAATATTAGTCGTCATTAATGGAATTTTACGTTTTCGAAGTAAAATTGTGGTAAAATAGTTTCATCACACTGCAATTACAACAGTGTCACCTTGGAAACGTAATTAAACTTCCCTAAATAAAGTGAATGTACGTTCAATGTTAATATGTGGCAAGGGTTGTTCTTAGGTATCAGCTAGAAGTAATGCTTYCTCMTTCCCCGTTCAAAAACTTCAGATTGCATGCWTATACTAAGCMATTGTTTACGYTRWGCCTCRAACAAATYYTTTCTAAGAAAATGATTCAATGYAGTGAAGATAATTTATTAGTTCACAAAGCCATGATCTGGATCCCMTAACGGTAAATGTAAGATGGTTAAGTGCTCAGAAGATTCGAGAAAGGGCCATTCAGTTTTCTAGCTTTAAAAGTTATATCAAGAAAGCCGTTATTCAATYACCAGAGATCGAASAGAGAAACACGATCCAATTAAAACATTACCGCTGCTTAGACAAACACTTTGTGGCACAACGTAGATTAAATTCAATATGGGACATGGAACTTTCTAGACAGTATTTGCTTTATCCAGTTTTCACGAACAACAGCCTTGAAAAGTTTGTGCGTACATCTGTTTCAGTGCAGTTTTTTRAGGCTATTGATTGGCTRGCTTTATTCTTTARTAATTAAATTCACAACAAACAGWATTCATYAGATCGACTGGTATCTGGCGTCGTTATATACAGTTTTATRTATCTGTGTCATAAAACGTACTAAAGAAATAGAGGATCCAAGACTTCGTTTCCTTGGCACATGCAGTTTTCGTCTTGAGCCAACAGCATATTTAAAACAACTAATTATATTACCTAAAATACAAGTAAAATCAAATTTCACATCTGGAATTTGTTATCCCTGCAATTTCAAGGCTACAGGAAAAGCTTGAATTCATGATTAATTTTTCAATATTGTGGTACCTATATATTTCAAAGTCATTTAGTTTCCTACGTATGGAAGACACAAAAAGGAAGTTGTGACTACATCGAATGTACGAGATATAAACGTGAATGACAATCCTCATGTCAAGGAGCAATGACACATAAAAAGGAAGTTTTATTATTCTCATAATGAATAGTGGACTTGAAAGCTTTCCCAACGTCAAAATGGAAATATGAGATAGTCGTATTCGGTATTGGAGTCTGCGAAATACCCTGAAACTAAGACAACAAAAAGACKACTCCATTAATTCATCAACAAAAGCTGTATATTGACTTGGTCAGGGAAAAAAAGGTATTTGAAATTTGACTTTCAACTTTCAACTTTATTATCATTTTGATCAAGTATAATTACAGTGACCTGCAATTAGTTTGAAATAAAAGGCAGCTGAAGAGTCTTGCCGGAGAAGATGAATATCACAAGATCTTATTGCACGTTTAATGGCAAAGAATTCCAAGAAAACTTYAATTTCTATGGACAGCGCTTCCATATAGCTTCAGTTGTGTGCGCAATATTTGGTTGCATTTTATCGCCTCTCGTTGTCTTTATGAACGGAGCCGTGGTCATTGCAATTGCACGGAACCCCTTTCTTCACAGCCCAGCGAATGTATTGATATGTCTGTTGGCAGTTGCTGATTTTTTGGTCGGTTTTGCTTTCTTACCGATGCAGACGATTTGGATGCTGAATTACACTCTTAATAATTCGTGTTGGTTCTACGGTATGATGGTGGCAACTGGATGGATTTGTTGTGGCTCTTCTTTTCTTACAATGGTAGCTGTAAGCGCTGAAAGGTAAGTGATCAGAGCTACTTATATAAAAAAGTAGGCAACAATAATTCACCCACCCAAAAAAGATTTTATATTCTTTGCTCAACCAGTAAAGCCATTAGCAATGAAACAGTTCAACATAATTTTTTCAGACACAAAYTGCAGACATTTGAATATGTGAAAAATGATGCCTAAGACTTCTACTAGATTTAGAGTGAACAGTTTGATGCCCTAGTTGCTATAGATACGTCAGTTTGATGTGCGAATCGGTACACCAAACTGTCAACACTGACACAGTGGATGGAAAGAAAAGTTCGAAGTTTCCCACATTGAAGTGTAGACGATCTTGTTCCCATATAAAAATCATATTTTTGCATAGTGTGTAGCAGCCTGACCGAAGCTAGGGKTTATCATGTTCGCGGCGGCGTGATGGACTTGTGGCTGATAATTCCCTCCCACGCAAGCAATCAGGCCTTGTCAGAAATTCTCTACGCAATTGAGGCTAACATAGTATACACTCAACTTTTTTTAAAACAATGGCAGCACAATAATCAAAATTACAAGRCCAATAACATGCACTAGAAATTAACCGGAATTTATAGTATAGCTATCATAGAACGGGCTCTCTGATTGGTCAAATGATATTGTTTATTTCACCGGTAAACGCACGGATGCGATAATGCAATATTATTAAAGCAATAAACAACACATTTTCGTGCGTTCATGGAGAAATAAACCCCATGAGATGTTGGGAGAACACGAAAAATGCGTAAAAAAATCTGGAGCCGGAGGAATTCCCCGTGAAAATGTGTAAGTTCATTGCTTAATTAGCAATACCATAATCATGGTGTAGCACAATGACGATATACAGTGATTATAAATTACACTAGGGTGCTTTCAGAAAAAAAGCACGAAACACTAATTCCTAATTAAATCATGCGTAATAGTGGTAGTCGAACAGAGAATAAAATATTTTGCATAGATAGTACAAAATAGTATATAAATAATGTTTCAAACTTTTACCAAAAGAACTTTAGTAATTTTACTATCAATAATGACCACTTAGAAGGTGACTCCCTAATATAAAAGGGCGGGGGTCCTCGTCGTCCCTTTTAGGATTTGAAATCAGTGTTTTGGTCCCGCTTAGGGTGATAAAGACGAGAATTCCCACCAAATGAGTTTTGTGGTCCTTTTTAGGGTATGCAGCGACCCTAATCCGTCATTATAAGATCAGCCATAACTGCTAATTAGATGGTTGATCTCAATACGAGCCGATGCTTGTGCAAAAACACAAATACAATCGGGAAATCAAAACAAAATGACCTGTTGGTGATTGGTGCTCCCTCTCTTAGCGGTGAAATTTCAGCATTGCCACGCCCATCATCTCACAATAGAGTTCCCTTTTAGGGGTCATTTTCAGAATTTCCGGCGAGGATCGCCTTTTTATTAGGGAGTCCCCCATCTCGGGTAATAACCGTACAATGCAATGACACTTACAATAGAAATKTTGCTATTTCTAGATACTTTGCCCTTTTCTTTCATTTGAGGTATGCCACAATGGTGACTCCAAGGAAACTTGCCATGACAGCAGTATGCATTTGGACTTTTAACATTCTCATTGCAACTCTCTACTTGTTCTCTTACATCAAACTTGCACAGTATCTTACAATTGCCTTCTTAACTCCTGGCATAAACTTCATTATGTTTTCTTACTTCCGTATATTCAAACTAGCAAGACATCATCGGACTCAAATCAGAGCTCAACAAGTGAATGCTGGAAGTRGCACACAGGGAAATGCACGGCAATATAAGTTGGCAATAACTATGGCTTATGTAACTGGAGTGTCCTTGGCATGCTACACACCAGTGTGTGTTGCAAGTTTGTTGASTATAGTCATTGGATACACGGTGTCTACTATCGAGATGTTTTATTTAACAATGACTTTGAATACTTTGAGCTCATTGGTTAATCCAATCTTATACTGCAGTCGATCTCAAGAACTTAGAAGATGCATTGCTGCCTCGATGCCAATTATATGCAAGAAATGCATCAATAGATGAGGTGTATGGATTGCCTTTTTTTTATACAGGTTATGCCAAAATGGTCGTACGTTACGTTAATAGTGGCTTAGTTCTATTTACGGATTTTAAAGGGACATGGTCCACCACCACTTAATGCGGTCGTGCTCCAAATTTTTCATAAATGGAATATGAGGTGGCTATACATTTGCAATCCGTTTCCATCCATCGGTTTAAAGGTGTAACATGTACTTTTAATAAACTGTGTATATTTATATTGACCTAATAGGAGGACAGTACTGTACTGTAAAATATTTGCCTCAAGTTCATGCCGTGAACAATGATTATGATCAACCAGCTCACCAAAACATGACATCGTTTATTAGGTAAAGGAACTTGGCTGGTCTAAAAACAGGAATTTTGACATTAAAATGTTACTCAAGTATCATGTGGCCCTGATAGAGTAAAATAGCCAAATCTTGTCCGTATATATTCAACAGGTTGCAAAATCAATGTACCAAAATACGAGAATGTACACATAGCTATCATATATGAAATGTTAATCTTTTGAATCTTTATGCAGTCGGAATATATATATGTAATACAGTGTAATATGATTTGAGCTTGTAAATTTAAAGAATGAAGACATCTAACAATGAAGACTTTCATAGTGGCCTATACAAATAATACCATGATAACCTCGGATTCTTTTGTCTTCCGAGGGATGTTTACAAGCGAACATCCCTCCCTCATGAATAGCATGAGGGACGATTACTAGTAATCGTCCCTCATGCATAATAACATGAGGGACGATTACCAATAATCGTCCCTCATGTTATTCATGAGGAACGGAAGGCAAAGGAAACCTTTGCTTCCCAGCAGGGACAACTGAATGTCCCTACAGCTATCTTCTTTTTACCTCTGCAATGAACGGTCTGGTTATCGTCTCAGTCAAACTGAAATGTGGGATGATTTTTGGGCCAATTTGACCGAGTAGCTCTGGTTCCGAGTCTCTACTTCGTACCGCTGAGCATGTGCAC